CTTGTGCAGCGTACATCCAGCATACGCTAATAGGCTACCACATCGGGTCGCACGTGAATCGCTAAGAAAACAATTGGCGCAGCACGACCAAAAAATAAATGTTTCTCGTGCTGGTCACCGGCCCGGTAACGCTCGCTATATCCGCACAGTAACAGGACGACAAGACGGCAGCCCACGGCCGAGGTACACGCAATTCTCTGCGAATATTAGTTATATCACAATTATATAAATCACACAATACCATATACATTTTAATCATTGTTATTGCAACATCGAATTAATGGGTATCGATTGCCGTGGACAAACGAACGTAGTTCTGTAAGAATTGACTGTAAGGGCATAACCATGACTGTAAGGGCATAATTGTGACTGTAACGAACTACCGTTGCGGGTAATCTAACCGTTACTCATCCTATGAGTCATAGACCTAAGATAACAACTACGCTCCATGTAAACACGCGTGTAACTGTCCACGAACAGACTGGAGTTAGCAGACTGAGCGCGCATAGGTAACGCTGTGTAAACACGGGGGGGGGGGGTAACATCTACATTACTGGTAAATACACTCGTAGCAGGTAGGCGATTACAACTACGCTGCTAATGCTGGTCGACTATATATATCCTGAGCATTATATTATCATATTATTTTTCCTTTATTTACCTTTTCTCATTCATCCTATTCATCTTTTCTATTATGGATTCTTGTTATTATCTATTATTATACACTCCTGCTAATATACATGGGTGTACATGCAAAGTTGCGGATAGCAGGTAAGCAACTGGTGCAGCAGGAATTCTAACGGTAAGAGATAGCAGGTTACTAGACCTGACTGGGAGAGCAACATGTTCATGTTAACAACCGCATTACTAATACAGGCAGACACCCGCCTCTACCTGCTAGGAGAGTAAAACAGATCCGATTTTTTTTGTATGGGTAAAGTATCATGTAACAAACGGAACGAATGAGGGTTGATCAATAATCGCAATGCATAGAGAAAACACATTAAAAAATATGTCACAAAGAATTTCAAATTCAACTCCAATTTTAATATAATTCCAACACATCTGACATATCACACATGCTTTTATAAACCTTTCACATCTCCTTCTTCTCTATAATAGTATGAATTCCCTTACATCACTTTACAGAATCAGCATTTAAACTATTTACACAATAGATTTTGTACATTTTGTATACCGTTTAGTATACACAGCTACACTTCCCTTGACAAAACCCTATGCCACCATCGGTCGAAACGCGAACCTCACCAATAACACACAAGCGAATGTTGTGAAAATTTCCTACTAAAAACACCTCTGACAGCACAAGTAAATTGCATGAGAATGCATACGACCGACAGACCGTGCGTTGGGCAAGACACTACTATGATCAGGAGTGTTCATAATATAGATCTATATCATGACACTCCTGCTACGATTACCACTGCGCTGTGTGCACCGCTAAAACAAGTCGTTCTGCGTAGTACATTCACATTCTCTTATCGAAGGCTTCGACCAATGAATTCTTCCCTAGAGATTTCCACGTTATGAAGCCATTCTATGATAAAACAGCCCTAAAATAGCATCCGTTTTTACAACAACAAAATATTAGGGCCTGATTTATTGGTCTAGCTCAGCATATATACTAAATAGCATTCATTCTTGATGGCACAACATGTCCGTGATCAGATGCTCTCAGCGCGAAATCTGTCTCTCTCTCGCTCTCTCTCTCTCACTATCCTTAGCGGTTGCTCCCGCGGTGACCAGGCTGACGTATTGAGCATGCCTGTACATTATTTCTAAACGCGCACGTCGTCGAATTTCCTACAATGCATTTGTATCGCACTTTGAAATGCACTCACTCGTCGATTCGGAGCATTCGCCCGTCGCGCGTGATTTGTTTCCTGCAAACAACCACCTTATCGCCAGAAATTCCATCGAACCCCATGTGTGCACGTCAAGAAACACCGTGAACTGCCCTTTGGTCCGTTCTCTCAACTCGCTACCCGTGCACTATACACTTCAGAATAGCACGATGACGCCATCTAGTGGCTAACTCTTTGCTATCTACCATGTCACCTAATCACTTCTGGCGTGTTTTTTTTTTTACACAAAAGTGCACGTTGTACATCAATGTACAGGCTTTCAGTCAACTGTTTGATACGCAAAAAACACCGTTTCATTTCGAAGAAATGGTCAACTATAGCTTTACATAACAGTGTTCAAACAGCCATTTAGCAATGAGCAAACAATGTAAAAAACAAACCTATGTTTAGAAGCAGTACAAATTGTCATAGTAAGACTTCCGACTAGTTGAAATGTAAGGCTGCGACTTAACCCATCATAACAAGCTATTTTGCAGCTACTAAATGATGAGAAATGAGTAAACATATATCTCAGTTTTAAGAATGTAATGGCACACAAACCAGTACAGTAAATGCACAGTATTATTATAGAAACTAGCACAACTGCACTGCTCTCGTTAATGCTCCCTCGGCAATGAAAACCTAACAACTAACAACCCTTACAAATACTGGCGGCCCCCGAATAAATGCTAATAGTGGCGCCACCTGAACACAATTAACGTTACCAGAGGCGATGGAAGTATGGTGGATGAACAGTGGCAGAAGTAGAGGCCTTGGTTTGGCGGGTGATGCGTATACTGCACTACAGGGTGCCTTATACCACACCAGGGCTTCACAGTTACAATTGATGTAGGCGAAGGGCCCGAAGAGAAAATAAAACTGACCATGAGGAAACGGAACCAATAGAGAGGACACGAAACAAATGGAGGAAACAAACCTGATTGAGAAGAAACAAAACCAACCAAATGAAATGAAACCAATTGAGTGCAGATGGAACAAATGGGGAAAACAAAACTAATGGAGAGGCAATAACACCAATGGAGAGAAATGGAACCACTGGCGGAGAAACGTAACACATACGGAGGAAACGAAACTTAAGGATTCGTAACAGAACTATGACAGAGGAAACAAAACGAACAAAGAAAGTGAAACCAATTTCGTAGTTAGAAAAACCAGCGGGAGAAGGAAACCCGATGAAGAGAAAATGAAATCAATGGAGAAGTAAAAAACCAACAGAAAGAGAATCAGACAAATGGAGATGAAATTAAAGTAACAGAAACGAAAAGAAACTGAACAGTGAGGAAATAGATGAGAAACTAGCAAAGTGAAAACGAAACTAATAGAGAATCACCCCACAGGAAGGAAATTAAACCAAAAGAACGGTATAAAAACTAACAGAAAAAAGGAAGCAACAGAGGAACTGAAGCTAAGAGAATGGATACGAAACCAACAAGTACACATGAAGGAGAGATACAGACGTGAATATCAATTTCAATACGGAGCCTTTGTATTAATGGAAATAAATTATGGTTATTAATAAGCAAACAGCCAAACTTTCAAGAGGCATACAACAAGGGCCGGGTAGAGAACGGTTATATGCGCAATGGAGTAAAAAAATACAGCGAAGGAGGTATCTAAGAAAGAGAGGGCATGGTAAGTGAAGTAGCAAAAAGATAGCATGCCAGGAAATACGCAAAGAAAGAGGGTTTAGTTGGAGGACCAAAATGCGGGAGAAAGGAGGCTACTACTACTAGAAGGACAAAAAGCACAAGGAGACAAGTGGCAAGGAGCAAGTGAGGTAAGATACACTGTAATCGCGATATGTGAGAGCAACAACCAGTACTATGATAGGAGCAAAGTCACTCTAGATCACACCCCATGCCAAGCGTTTGCAGCCTAGCCATGCATGGGTAACGATGAGTAGCAACCAAACTGATTCACTGGAGTAAGCCCAGAGAAAAGTGAGCAAAACTGGAATTGCGTGCACGTGCGTGCGTGCGGTGTATGCACATGCATGCGTGCGGTGTGTGTGCGGTGTGTGTGCGTGCATGCGTGCGGTGTGTGTGCGGTGTATGTGCGTGAATGTGTGTAAGCGTGTAGAGTATCATATTGTTGCATTCCTAGAAATACTATCCTTGCAAACAATAGAGCCATTTTGCACTGTAAATACCTTAGGCATCGGAATCACGGACATTATTAGATGATACGGATAAAATGTTTTAAATCATATTAGATATCATTAGCAATCATATATGTCCTGAATGCATGAGCAGCCATATATATCCTATCAGAGACTACGAACAACCAAGAGATTATATAAGGATACTTTAGAAAGGTTTCGCTCATTCGCTTATTAATTCCTATAGTTCCTGGTATCACTGCCAAATTTAACGAATGAATCCGTCCTAGTGCATTTTCTGCTCCGAAACAAAATCTGACTTATAACAAATAAAACAAACAATGTTGTGCATAGTCAGTGCCACTTTGATGCCGCATTGGTAGTCGTATCTAATTTTCTCGCATAATTATACCAAGTGCAACCGACTTGTGGACAGTGCTTAAATGAATAGTTTCCGACCGTCCCATTTCACTCGAGTTGAAATTCAAATAAAATTCTAAACACCGACATCTTCTTTTTTCGCAATAAAGCATGTTCAGGGTTCAACATTAACTTTTTATTTCACTAGATCATCAGGCTAGTAACTGAGGAAAACCACTAGCCCTGACCTAACTTTCACTAGCCCAGACCTAACTTTCACTAGCCCAGACCCAGACCATTGTTATGGAAAACTTTATTTAGATAAGAGTGTGTCATCGTATGAATTCATAGATGCTGTTTCCCGCGCTTTGAATCGCGCGTGGGCCGAGTTCACGTGCAGCATTCGTATTCTACCACGGGCATACACGAGCGCACGGTTTATCGATCGTCTACTGCGGCTGGCAGCAAGCCACGTTATTGTTTTTGCCGAAGGGTAGACTGCTATCCAGCCTCATGCTCTGCTAGATAATGTACACGCTCTGCGACAAACAGTGCGGCCGCGAACCAGTCTAGCCAGAGGTGACCTTTCAGTGCAATATATATGACCAATTCTAACACGACCAGTCGGGCTACTAGCACTCTGGTTGTATGCGACCGAACCAAACATTTACCCGACTAGGTCGATCGGACGTGGGTTAGTGTCGAACCCTGATGTTGAACAATAAGTATTAGCAACTGCGATAAAACAAGTCTTCTACGTTTCTTTGTGTGTGCTATGAACAATAGCCTTTCATAGGATTCAAATGATTGAATAATGAAAACACAGTTTGACTACACATGTACATGTGCTAACATGTAGGCTGAAATGCTGGCTAATAGATTTTGCATACATAATCAATGATGGAAGGCAATCATAATAAATAAAATAATACGCATTATCAATGCATACATGGAAAGCTCAACATCTCATACATTCGAATATCACAGGGTAGGCAAAAAAAAGGTATCATGATGGAAAACAGGAATTAAAGATTTCTCAAGATGTCGTGGGACCTCTCTTATCATTATTCTATCCTGAAACATAGTACTATAAAAGGACAACCCTTGTGTGGCACTTTCATACAGTGACACCTGGTGGCCAGTTCTGTCATGGAAATGACTGCTAGACAACAGTGCCACCTACTGGGGATCCATTAGGCGTCAGTGAGGCAGCAGTGGCATGCTGTGTCAATGGCAGAGACTGCTGTGATACTCCCTGTTAAGAAAGAAGCAAGCAATATGTTAAAGAAGGTATGAGCATCCAATGTCATTATAAAGTTGTGCTAGAAACGCACTGGAATTTCACTGCATTTTACATAGTGCGATGGCAGAACACACAAGGGATACCTATTAGTATTACATGTTTTAATAAATAAACTATGCTAGGTTATATATATTAACCTGTAATAGAAATTATGCAAGGTTGACACATACTTAACAGTGGTTTACCCAGGAATTTCACGCATGCGTAGGAGGGGGTTGTACCTGAAGTCGATTACATAAGTCATAATTGGCCCCAATACACAGGTAAGATCACTCAGTTCCAAAACATATACATCAAGCTGCGGTAACAATGTATGACCTTTGCGATTGTCAAAAATAAACACAGCTAGAAGTTAAGCCATATTGATTAGGTAATTGAGGCATATCGGAGGATTTACGGCATGTCACAAGTTAGCTTCAGCTTTGAAAGCACATCAGTGTTTCCCCTGCATTGACATGAGCAAAGTGGGCCGCCTCGCTCAGATTCTCAGCCGCCACACAGAAATTTTATCCAAAACACCGCCTCGCTGACGAAAATCACTGTTCTTCCATAGAACAGTGCTTATAATGCACCAAAATAGCTTAGAACGCACCAAATTGCACCATTTTTGTAAAGAAAAGATCGGGGGCCATACCCCCCCCCCCCGAACCTTTAGCTGGGCGAGCACCTGCGCTGCTCGCTTTGCTAGGACCTCGAAATGCGCAAACACACAACAAAAATTTACCACCTCACAGACCTTTTTGGTCCGGGGAAACACAGCAGATCGGACCCGACAATGCGTACACGTAAGGCTTGTCGAGAACCCTGCTATATCGCTGAAGGCCCATTTTCCATGTCACCACGACAGCATGCCATGCTGGGTGATGTTACCCACAATGAATAAGCAACCATTACGCCTCAGAACTTTTCCAAGGGTCTCTGCCCGATCTAGCCCCCTCAAAACCATTCCCCCCCCCCAATAACCTCAATGCTAAGCCGTATTCATTCAATGACTCATGCTGGGCCTGCCAATATGTGGGGTTTTCTCTCCGCGACACAAGTATCATTAATACCAGTACAATCTTGAGCGGATACATGGGAAGCTGGTATCACTATCAGCATCTATTGATTTATATAAAGAGGACCAGCAAGAGAGACAATGACACTGCTACATGTCTACTGATAATGCAGGTTGTGACTGGTAAGTCTAAAAAAGCTGGTATCTGCTATAGACAGCACCCTTCATACTGTGCCATATATATACAGTGCATTACAGTGTTCTCATTAGGAACCGGCCACCGGCCGAATTGACCGTCTACTCTGCTGTTTCGGCCGGTTACAATTGGCTCGAGTATATTTAAAAAAAAATATATATATATTTATTTGCATTTAGTTTGCTCTAATTATTCTCCAAAGTGAATGTGTTTTATGAGCTACTACTAATAAATCAGTTGAGTATATTTGTATGCATGTTATGTGCACAAGAAGCATTGTTTTATTTTTGAGTAATGCTATTTACGTACTTGTCTAACTCTTATAATTACTAAATCGTCATAATTTGAAAACTTTTGGTCAACTCTGAATGTACCAGGAGAAACCAAATTGGAAAAAAGGACCATACTGTAATCCAAATGTGTCTGTTTACTGCAGCTCAGAGCATCTAGGTTTTAAACAAAAAAATTGGGGGGGGAACCCTCCCCCCCCCCCGTGCACACCGCCACAGCCTGTTGCAAAAGCATTTCGGCCTGTTACTATAAAAGATAATGAAAACCCACCATTATCGTAGCCCACCATGTAGGGTGATAAAAGACGTGAGGGATCACGCACTGCCATATAAAGCAATAAAAGATAGAGAAATGAAAACCCATTAAGCTCCAATAATAGATAAATTGTGTACATGGTGTCAAACGAACATTATACAGGTTGTTTAACTTGCAAACCTTTTTCCAATTTCTGACTAACCACACCTGCATAACTTTTTCTATAAAACTGCCACTTTTACAGAGAAGCATACACAAATACAATGTTTAAGCCAGGGGGAACTACCTTACCACGTATTTTCGCTTCGCTGTTTACCCTAATGTGAACGCCCATAAATTACCGAATATGTGTAAGGGGAGACAAACACCCTGTCTCATTCTTCCTTTGCTCTGCCGCTGGACCTTGCCCACAAAAACACACGACCTGACATGTCACATGAGTGGCCGTGGCAATGGAGGAGCAGGGAGGAAGTAGAAACAGTATACACATGATTCTCCCTAGGCCTAGGTCCAACATGACGTCAAAGCGGAGGCTAACTTGCAAACTCCTCCAACATGCCCTTATTAACTAATCGACATGCCTTAATTTTCAGCTCTGCTTGCATTTGACAATCTTCACAAAGTCATACCGTACTTTCAACAGCTTGATATAAATAATCTCTGAAGTGATCGCGTTTACCTGCATTGTATTGGGGCTCCTTATAAATGACACAAGTTATGACCCCAATTGGTACAACTGCCTCTCACACCCTCCTCCATCCATCCACAAATGCATTCTGAAATTTCTGAGGAGCACCCTGATACTGGTGTGACAAATCAGGGCCAGCAGATTACAAACTCTTCATGCTGCCGGGTCTCACAAACAGTAGCACATGAGGTGAGTGTCTTCCACTGTGGCAGTGAAGGAGTAGGTGAGAGTTAGTAACAGTATAGGGCGTATGGACAACAACAGGAGGGCAGAAGGTGAGAGGGGTCAATAACTCACCGCACTGAGCTACGTTGCAGCCACAGCAACACACAGCTCTCNTATCAACTAACTCACCGTGCTGCTGGGTCGCGCCCACAGCTATACGAAGCCCTCCTAGGAAGCCCTCTTATCATGGCCTGAGGGAGAGAAGTCACACTATTGGAGGTGAATTGACATAGGGGAGGAAGAGGGAGGGTACTATCAACTAACTCACCGTGCTGCTGGGTCGCGCCCACAGCTATACGAAGCCCTCCTAGGAAGCCCTCTTATCATGGCCTGAGGGAGAGAAGTCACACTATTGGAGGTGAATTGACATAGGGGAGGAAGAGGGAGAGTACTAACAACTAACTCACCGTGCTGCTGGGTCGCGCCCACAGCAACACGAAGCCCTCCTGGCAGCCCGTGACGATGCAGTCCTCGCGGAAGGCGAGCGCGGTCAGCCGCTCGTGCACGATCTTCTTGCAGACGAGCGGCTCAAGCGCGGGCACGTCCTCGAGGCGCGGGCAGACGCCCGTGCCGTACGCGCGGTAGCACTCCTCGAGCGACTTTGTGCTCGAGCTCACCGAATTCGTCTTGTTCGTGTTCTTGTGCGTCAGGCTGAAGTGCCGCTTGTGATCCTTGTCGCGCTTGTCGCCGAGCGTCAGCGATGCAAACTTGTGCGTGATGCTCGTCGACACCGTCGCCGTGCCATCAGCAGGCCCCGCCGCGCAGTTCGGCGTGCTGTTGCCGACGGCGACGCTGTTGCACTTCGTCGTCGCCGGCGCGGCCGCCGTCGGCTGGTAGATGGCGCTCGCGCGGGTGGCGCGCGGCTGCGGCTGCCGTATCACGTCCTCGGTGAGGTCCCATAGGCAGAGGTGCGTGTCGTGGCCAACCGAGCCGAACCGGTAGGAGATGATGCGGTTCGCGAGCCCGCGCAGCGTCTGGCTGTCCGTCGAATTGCGATTCGAGATGGGCGACGCGTTCGCGAGCCGCGTCGCCGCCGACCCTGCCGCCGCCGCCGACCCTGCGCAGTTCATGTCGTTGCCGCAGCGGGTCATCGTCGTCGCCGCGGAGACATCCTCGTCACTGTTCTCGCCACGATCACAGTTGTTGACGGTCGACGTGAACTCGTCGAAGGCGACGACGCTCACCCACGAGCGGTGGCCGTGTCCGCGCGCGACGACGCGCCGCTCCGACGACGACCACACCGTCACGAGGTCGTCCTCGCCGCCGACGACGACGAACTTGCCGTCGGGCGACCACGCGACGCAGAGCAAGCCGCCAAAGTAGCTGCGCATGCCGCCGACGTGGTCCATCGTGTCGTAGTTGAAGACGCGCAGGTAGCCGTCCTGTGAGACGGTCGCGAGGTACTTGCTGCACGGCGAGAACGCAAACTCCTGGATGACGCCCTCGCCGACGACCCACCGGTAGAGCGGGTTGCGCGTCGTCTTCGTCTTGCACGTGTAGATGGCGAAGCCCTCGCCCTGCTTGAACAGCTGGTAGTGCGGCATCGTCGTGCCGCACGGAAGCTCCTCATTGTACACGTACATCTGGCCGCTGCTGTGCGACACGAGGAACTGGTTCGGAGAGCCGGGAATCCACTTGAGGCAGGTCACCTTCGACTTGTCTATCAACCTCTGGAAAACGAGCGAGACGCACACGATTACGCATTGCACGAGCGAGTCGGTAAGACAGTCCCGTATTCAGAGGAGGAGAATTAGTGATGCTTGTGTTTGCAATATGCAGTAGGCTCAGTTATCCGATATTCAGTTATCTGACATTCTGTATTATCTGACATAGCCAATCCCTGTATATATGCGTACTGTACAGTGTTGTGCTGCACGTGAACGTATACAATTTGGCCTAATCCCATGCTGCATGGCCTGGCATCACATACTACCATTGTGGTAGGTTCGTTTGCTTGCCTGCACTATGGATTTAGGTTTGTATTGTACATACTGTGAATGAGACTGCTCGAAGCAAGAGCCAAATCTAGGAAACAAACTTCAAAGAATTTTTTTTAACAATTACTAACAATGTATCCTATTACTTTAATTAAATACTGTAGAATAAACCAGACCTGTCTCACATTTATACGGCAATTCAAGTTTTAAGTCTACGATTTGTTTCACCCCACCTCTGTTTTGCATTATCCTTTATTTTCAATTATCTGACCACCTATAAAGCCTGTTTAGGTCTGGTAATCGATTCAACTGCAACTTGTTTTTTAATTTTATTAGAGCGGCCGAAACCTGCTTCATGGACGGAAGTAGAACTATGACCAAGGCAAACTTTCTTGCCATGTTCGTTTTCACGGGGCTAAAACTCACATATATATAAACAAGAGCGTATAAAGGAGAGCATACAACGGTGAAATGCTGAAACCATGTTGCAGTATTAGTCGAATTAATAAACTTTCCCCGTTTTATTTTGATGATTCTTTGCAGTATTATTGATCAGCTGTTCTACCTTGTTAAAATATAAAACAAACCGCATGTCCCTACAATGCCCCTACGCTGAGATAATGAGCGGTGAAAATCTGGTATTTTCGCCTGAAAACCGACTCGAGATCACTGTTTACTGTGACTGTCTCTCGCTTTGAGATAACTTTGGAAAACCTTGCGTGTTTCCGTCAATGATTGACAAATGGAATGAATGACGTCTGTTATTGATTGCCATAGTGATGACCCCCACCTGTGCCCACCTCATGCTGGATGTATAGTAAACTCTATAGTACTGACGTGAGTCAGCGCTACCATGGCGCTACACAGCGGCGACCAGAAGCAATACACTGGCCACAAAGCGAGAGACAGTCACAGTAAAAAGTGATCTCGAGTCGGTTTTCGGCGAAAATACCAGATTTCCACCGCTCATTATCTCAGCGTAGGGGCATCGTAGGGATATGCGGTTTGTTTTATATTTTAACAAGGTAGAACAGCTGATCAATAATACTGCAAAGAATCGTCAAAATAAAACGGGGAAAGTATATTAATTCGACTAATACTGCAACATGGTTTCAGCATTTCACCGTTGTATGCTCTCCTTCTTTATACGCTCTTGATATTCAAGCATCACCGTGACGGGGCAAAGACCAAGAGTGGTCTGGCTTTAAGATAAAGAAATGAACGCCAGGTAGGAAGGGCACACAGAAATAACCTGATATTTGTCTGCAGTTGTCACGCAAGGAAGCCATTTCATCAAACTACAACCAAATGACACGTGACACAAGAACAGGACCTGGCATGACCAACCACCACAGGTCAGGGTGACATATCTTCCAGTATGAAAGCCAGATGTTCTATCTAACCAATATTTGTTCACATCAACTAATTCACTCAAGTTATTAGCAAATTAGGAAGACGGATTATCCAACCGAGCCTCGTTTGATCGCATTTAAACTGCCTGCCTGCATTTTCATCAAGGTTATGCCGACAACCATGAAGCTATCCCCTGAACAGAATCTGTACAGTCAGCCAGGAGGAATGCCAGTGGCTGTCCAATACAACACTACACTACATTTCTATCAATTGAGCGCGCACTCACATCAAGTCGCATCATTGATCTAATAGCATGGCCTAACTAGGGAGCCACTGCAACAGCGAGGTGATATGAAATAGCATTACCGCGCACGCTGGAGAAATCGACAGAGCAGGGTCGGCACTAGTCAACTGCTAGACCATTATGTGAGAGTCTCACCGCAGGCATCAAATTGAATGCCTGATGATCGATGCAGAGACACAGACTGTGATATCACAAAACCAGCTGACAAGTAAAGCACAGACAAGAACCGTGATATCACTGCATCGACTAGCAAGCAAGGTACAGACATTGGTTGTGATATTACTGCATTGTCTGGCAAGCAAGGCACAGACACAGACTGTGGTATGATTATCACTGCATTGTCTGGCAAGCAAGGCACAGACACAGACTGTGGCATCACTACATAAGCTGGCAAGTAAGGCACAGAAATGCGATCATTCACCGAATGCTTAATGAAATCACTTAACCTTGCTCTAGCCAATGTAAGATACATGTACAAGCGCACAGACACACATGATTCTGTTTTATCATACATTCTTACTATTAGCCTTACTTAAATCACAACTAAATACTGACAGCAGCATAAATATGCAAAACAAATAACGGAAAATAGTGAAATGGGTAAAATAGTGGGGTGCAGACCACTGTCAACAGCAACTCACCACAGCCACACTAACAGAACATTGCCTGATAGAAAATCTAGTTTGAGTGATAGTAGCAAACATGGGACAGGGCCACAACAAAGTGAAAAACAGCATCACTCCACCGTATAGCTGTGACAGAGTAAAGAAACAGCATCACTAATGACCCCTTTGATTTAGCTATGTGGCAGTGACAAAAAAGAGGTAGCATCTTCAGTTATTACAGTGAAAAAGAAATGCCAACTTACTGGTAGAGAGATGTCACCACTCACAGTATTTGCAGCTATTCGACTGAGATAGAGTAAGAGACAGCATATCTCACGATGGTGGGCTACCGCACACCTATACCGCCACACATGTGAAAGTGGGCACCGTGGAAAGGCAGAGCTCTGCCGATTCACTCACTAACAAGCAGTTCCTCATGAATTCAAAATTCACTAGCAGCTAAGCTGTGCAACCATCAAGCAAACTAAAGTGAGCAGATGCCAATCATGATAACCAATTACAGATGGGCCTGATCGCCACTACCAAATAGCTGCAGCTGGTCAGTTCTACCAAACCGTATAACCCCACAAGCTACGAGTGGTATATATATACAGGTAGGCCCCACTTTACGGTGGTCCATTTTACGACTTTTCACATTAACAACCTTTTCAAAATTACCTAAAAAATTTTAAATAACAAAAAAATCCCAACTCAATAACACATCGCAGCAATGCCTGAGAGTCCAAACATGCAATATGCGCTTTTTTTCGTGGTGCACTGTGGGTGCCTGGGTGAAATGACAGCATTTAATTGCATTATAATTTGATCTTGTTTTATGACCTTTCATTTTAGGACCGTTTTACTGGAACCTAACCCTGCCGTAAAACGGGACCTACCTGTACCTATAACTGTAATAACATCTTAAATAACTAATATAAGGGATAACTAATCACTTCACAAAATACAAGTTTTTCTACCATCAGAGTGTACAAGGTTTACTAAGAACGATACTAGTACTACTAGTACTAGTTGAGAAACACACTGCCTTTATGCGGCGTTCACACAGTGCTGATTATGGCTGCCGTTTGAGATCAGACAGCGCTACGACACGAAAAGTGAAAAAGTTGGATTACTATCCTCAATGATCTGGAATGTCCTATCATTGTCTGAACGCAGTCGTATACATTCATAACAGAGTCCTATGGATCAGGAATGGTCCGGAGAGGTCGGCCAAGCACACAGGCCGGCAACAGTTAGGTGCGTTCCGTAACATTCGGGAAACGCCGATTTTGTCTAGCCAGATTACAATCATGACTATGTCGTGACAGATTCTGCTGTATCGGATCAAAATTGTAACAATGTTCTGTGTTGTCTGGACGGTGTCCTGTGGATCGGGACGCTGTCGTGATGAACGGGCATGATCTGGAGAAATAGATCATTGTCATCGTCTTCCGTCAGCGTCGGTTCACTGTCGGGTCACTGTCTGATCTCTGTCAGATCGCATTCGGGAGAATCGGGACGCTGGCGGGACAGATTTGGTCGTTTTTTTACGATGCGAAAGATACAAATTGGATCAGAATCGGATTGAGAACT